TAAAGCTGCGTCCAGATTACGCGCGCCGAACTGCGCAAAACGTTTGCGAGCGTTGCAGAAATGTTTTGCGCACACTGTCTTGTCTCTGGTTTGTGTGTGTGCTTGGCTATGTTTGCTAGGGTTCCCAATTGAACGGGTGAATATTTTTGAGTGACCATGGATGATGATGTGCAAATCTCTGCAGCAGCTTTTATTATTCTTTGCGACGCTATAAAGAAAAAGCAACGCAAGAGAAGACGCTATTGGATGACGAATTTATTTAAAAGTCGCAATATTTATAGTGGCAGCAACCTGTTGAACGATTTATCATTGTCACGCACTGGACAGTTCAAAAATTTTTGCCGTATATCTTGTGAAGATTTTGAATATCTGATACATCTAATTGGGCATAAAATAGCGAAGCAAGAAACTACATTCAGACAACCCATTCCTGTTAAAGAGAGACTGGCAGTTACTCTACGATTCCTGGCAACTGGGGATTCATACACAAGTTTGATGTACCTGTTCAAAATTTCTAAACAGAGCATATCTACCATAGTGACTGAAGTGTGCCAAGCTTTGTGTGACGCATTGAAAGACTACGTAAAGGTAAGAAATATTGCATTTATTCGTAGTGTTATCCATAAAAGGTGTGTGTGTGTGTGCATCACAACAAAATTTGTAAACGAGAATATTTGTAATCACTGCTTAAGGCGCGAATGTATTGTAATAATGTTGTACAGCACCCCATGAATCCTGAGATTGTGAGTTTGGACTTGGTTGAGGGGTGTCTTGGGAAAATGGATCCTGATACTGTTCATTGAATAAAAGGTGATCGGCGGCCCCAATATTTCCGGAACTATGTGAAGAGGAAGGTGTAGATGCCGAGGATCTTGTATTGGATCCACTACCATTATCGTATCTTCCAATTACAGCGTCAAATATAACGTTATTAATCTTGTGTATTGTAACAGCTCGGGTGCGTTCATCCATTTTTTGTAGCTGTGTTGTTATGTATTGACCAAAAGTATGACACTCGTCTTTTGGAGTGGTTGAGACCTTCTTAAGCAGATCGTATGCAGCAGACACTTTAGGATCTTCTTGTACACATTTTCGTTTCGGAAGTATTTTCTTGGGAGATACAAAAATTTTACGTTTTG